AAAAGGGGTAAAATGCAGCAATAAAACTAAAGAGTTCAGATCAAAAGGTGCGGACCATGCTACCTAGTTTGTTTTGAATCAACAGACATACCATTCGCTAGGTGGTCAACTGCATGGTAAAACTTTACCCCTTCGCTCAGTAAGCCCTTTTTTTCGTCAATTGCATGGTATGTCTGTTTAGACTAAAGACAAAGAAATCATTATGAGACAAAGTTCTTTGTCTTCAGTCTTTGTATACCATGCAATTGAACCACCATGCTTAGACTAAAGACAAAGAAAGAAACTAAAGAAAAAGACTGATAAAAGGAAAAATGATGAGGAAGTAGTAAAATGAAGAATGAGGAATGATAAAACTTAAGAAGCCTACTGACTGACAACAAAAAAACTGAAGAATGACTCGATACACACCGTACTGAACTGAACACTCAACAAATAATAAAATGATAAACAATATGTTCTAAAGATTGATGAAATATACACCGTGAGACTAGAGATAATACTGAATTAAATATAATACTGAATTCTGCCAGTGTCAAGTTCAGTAAACACCACAGCGTTCCATCAGTCGCTCCGCCTGAAGGCTTGGCGACCTGAAACCAATGCACTCACGGTCACAAGTTGACTGCGTTGTTCTACCTTCTACGCCGAGAGACCTTCTGCTGTGTGTAAATTCATTACTGTGGTGACTAGCTGACTGCTGCTTTTACAGGAAAGCATCAGCCTCAGATGATGAAGCTCTATTGTATGAGATTATTTGGACGACAAGGAATGATTTCATTTTCAATGGCATACGCCCCAACCCCAGTGTATACAATTGCAGAAGAAAATTCAAGGAGCCTGGATGGCTTGTTTCATAGAGCTACAGAAAGAAGCCTGGATGGCTTGTTTCATGGCTTGCGTCAAGGCCTTTCATTAGATCATTGGAAGTCACTACCCCACTTCCTTGAGCCTCTTCGTTTCAATTTGCATAGGCAGCTTTATCTTCTTGTAATTCATAAGCAAAAAAGTTATATAAATACACGCAGTACGAATTATCCTACTGTTTTCCGTAAGAAAAAGGAGAGATGGCTGCAAAAAACAGCGGGCGGCAGCGCTAGAGCGAACAAACGAAGAGGACAAAGGGGCTGAGCGCAGAGGAGGGGTAAACAGAGGGAGAAGCTCGACGAACCTGTCTCGCGGCCGGCGACGGGCGACGACCGGTGGTTCCGCCCCCGCGGACCACCACTCGCTCATGGCGCGCCTGATGGGAGAGCCCCGCTGGCCCCCTCTCCATCTCCTTCCTCCCGCTGCTTGCCTCCCCCTTCCCCCTGCTGCTCGTCGGCAACTCCCCTTCCCCCACCGCCTCCCCCTCTCCTCCCGCTGCGCTGGCTCACCGACGAACTGACATGACATGGGCCTCATGTAAAACCGGATCGGGCTCGAAACAACGACCCGAAAAGCCCACCTGCACCTATGCAAACGTGCGAACCAGAGACAGACAAACCACGCGCCGGAGCACTGAGATTCGTGAGAGAGATTGAACGGGTCAGAATTTGACTTACAGCGAAATGAAAACCAGTCGACTAATTTCTTAGTAAAAGTGTTAACTGTCGTTGTTGTACTAAATCAACGACAGTTAATATGATAATATGGATCGGAGGGACTGGTGAATACAGAGACCACGTTACCTGAAAAACAAGCTACATCGTTAGACAATGGTTCTCACTTTCAGTTATTTCAGTAGGTGCTGACATATTTCACTTTTGATCAGCATGTTCCAGTATTTTGTAGTACATTCAAATAAATTTCAAAGTTTTGTAAAAAAAAGCTTAAGTTTTGCACCCGCAAAAAAAATGCTTAAGTTCTGGGTTTGATTTCAATGAATTTTAAATGAAATTTTATGTAGACTGAAACGCAATCGAAAATTTCAGAAACGTGTGGCCGAAATATTTCCAAAAACGAAACTGAAACCAATTGCCACATGAGAGTATCATGTGGAAATCAAGTCGCAATGAAAACTTGATGCAAATAAAGTTATAAAAAGTTCTCCAAACAATATTGTATGCTATAAAAAGGTGGTGTTATATAAGCATGTGAAATTTGAAGTTCATATCATGATATTCATATTCATTGCAAAGGTAATAAAAAAATCATCCATGAATAGCAAAAAAGTTCTCCAAGGCGGTCCGAACATAGAGTGTGGCCAGGCCGGCCCTACCGCAGCGGCCTACGCAAACCTGGATAGGGTTTGGAGGAAAGCACGACTCTCAGACCGACGCCACCACAAACACCGAAAAGCACGGCGCCACCACAAAGACCGACGCCCTGGATAGGGTTTGGAGGAAAGCACGGCGGGAAAGGGGAGCGCAACGCCGCAAAGGCATGCACCAACACCAACCAGGGCAGCCCCCTGAACTCGCATGCCGTCAGACGCCATCCACCACCACAGACCAGATCCACAACGACCTCCGCCCAACCGACCCGACCACGTCGGGTCACACCTGCAAGCCGACCCCATGAACCTCATTGACTCCCGAGAGTAGCAGGCCGCCCCACCACTGCCTAGAGGACCTCGAGCAGCGCATCCGCCCTTGCATGAGCACACAAGTCGTCACCTTTTGCGCGCCACCGCCTGCATCAGACGTGCCCGAGCCTTGCCGGCGAGGAGCCCTGCACCGCTCGCCACCATCGGATATGGGTCGAGCCCAGATCAGGCCATCGCCACGGATGTGAGGCCACATTGTGAAGCCCCCCCACCGTCGCCAACCCCCGCCACCGCGCCCCTCGCCGGCGCCACGCCACTGCTCGGCCGCCCGTGTGTGAGGGCATCTCCAGCCGTTGGCCTCCCAGGGGGCGTCTAAAAGCGCCGCCTGGGGTGAGCCGGCGCAAAAAATGGCCCTGGGGGCGAGTCGATCCCCAGCCGTCGGCCCCCAGGGCTGCCCACACGCGCGTATTAAAAAAAGGACTGTTCGGCGAAGTTATGATAAAAACTAGTTAAATTTCGGCCAGACATGGCAAATTTCGGTGAAATTCGCGCATTTTCATTACATTAACCTAATCTAAAAAAGAAAAGGGCTGAAGTCGTCGCCGCCGTCGTCGTCGGCCTCCTCCTCCTTGACGCGGGCGCCCCTGCTGGACCCCTGCCCGGCGTCACCATGGCGGACTGGCGGTGGCGCGTCGTCGTCGTCGTCGCTGTCGCATAAGACGACGACCCCGTCTTCAACGCGGCTGTGTCGGCGCTCCTCGAAGCGGCGCAGGGCGGCGCACTGGCGCTCCTTCTCCTTATCCCGGCGCGCCTTCTCCATCGCAATGGAGTCCTGGCGCGCCCATTCCAGGGCCACGTCGTCGTCGTCGAACTCCGCCTCCACCGGCGGCAGCCCCGGCTCGTCTTCACCGACGCCAGCCCCGGCTCCATCTTCGGCTTGACGAAGCGCGGAGGAGCCGACGGGGAGGGGGCGCGCCGGCTGCCCTCGTTGATGACGATGCCGACGCTGCGAGTGCGCCGACCGATTGGCGTCTCCGCCGCAGGCTCGACCTTGACGCCGAGAAGCGCCGGAGAACCGGAGGAGTGGGAAGATGAGCGAGAGGAGGAAGACGAGGAGGAGGCGAACCTCCTTGGTGCCCATGCGCGTCGGTGTTGCGACGGGGCGGCCCCCGTCGCAGGATAGGTCAACGGCGGGTTGTTGCCGCCGTCGAGGTGCGTCAGCACGCCCTCCAGCGTGCGGCCCGGGACGCCCCACCACAGGTGGCGCCCCACGCTATTCTTCACGCCGCCGACCACCGGCGCATCGTTGGTGGAGGCCAGGCGCTGCTGCTGGCAGCGCTGGAAGTACGCCTCCCAAGCCGCGTGATTGCCG